GAAAGAGTGCAGAGCAATTGCTAAGTATGCCACACATCTTGAGCTCAGTGGTGTGCGGTCAGTGGACTAGGCTAGTCCCCTAAATGTTCCCGATAAATTAGAGTATTCGAATATGAAAGCCTGGTGCCTACTGCTGACAGGAGTGTGTGCAGGAGCCAGACCCTGTGACTGGTAGGGCCTTGCAGGACTGGGACCTTCCTGAGTTTGGCCTGGAAGGACAAGGCGTGGCTGCACAGGTGAGACTTCACAGAAGACTTGGAGCATCTGGTGGCAAGGGCTGGCACCTCTGGCCCTGTTCCCCTACAAAAATTTCACTGCGCGCCACTGTTGAGCTCATTGGAGAACAGGTGGGACATAATGCAATAAACAAATAAATGTGATGGAAGCCATGCAGTGATGATGCCAGACACACTTCTGTGGGGAGGCGATCTTACCATTTAGGGGCTGCCACTGAGAAAGTTGGCCAGCCCAGTTGAAGGGACAAAGGAAGTGTAGGTTTTAGTGAACTAGGGATTACTTGGAATAGGCAGGAGTAATCAGATGCACAAATATAGGGTGGGGGACACTTGGCTTGACATTGGGGCCTATGAAAAGGATCTAGGGGTCTTAGCAGACCACAGGCTTAGCATGAGTTAGCAGAAAGGGGGGAAAAGCTAATGCTATTCTAGGCTGCATCAACAGAGGTATAGTGCCCAGATCAAGGGAAATTGAAGTCATAGAACCGCTCTGTTCTGTCTTGGTCAGACCCCACCTGGACAACCATGCCCAAGCTTCTCCAGGTAGAAACCCCTGCTGCCAGTCATTGTGGACAATACTCAGCTAAATTGTACAACAGTCAGACATGGTATAATGTAGCTCCTCATTTAAATCATCCCTTTATTTAGAACCATGAGTTCTAGAATCTTAACTCCCAGATTCAGTCCCTGGCTTCTCCAGGTAGGGCTGGAAGAGTCTCCTGCCTGAAACACTGGCAAGCTGCTGCCAGTCAGTGTAGACAGCACTGAGCTAGATGGACCACTGATTGAGCACATGGTAGCTTCCGCTGCTTCCTTCCAGCTAGGCTTGACCACCTCTCTAAGCTGCACCTTTTAAGAAACCTTAGAAAGGTATCACTACGCAGACCAACTCTGTTTCAGGCACTTTGAAACCAGGGTGGAAAAAATAGTCCTGGGTTCCCCTTTCTCCAGAAGACTGTTGCTGAGATTGGCAGTCTCCACTTTCAGGTTTTCCAGAAAAACAGAGCCCATTATTCATTGTCTGAAGCAGTTTCCTTCCTCAACAGCAGCTGCAGCTGCTGCTTCTCTGCCAGGAGTGGGAACAAGACCCAGTTTACTTAGCGAGAGCCAAAATCGCTCCTAGACATTTCAAAAGGAGACAGACAGCAACTTGGCTGCTGCAATGCAATGCCTGATGAGAGCCTCATTCGGGCATGGATTGACCTATTCTCCCCCCTCTCTTCCTTCTTTGCAATCAGCCAATGGGGCCACAAAAGCTACCTGAGTTATCTGCATATCTCCCGGAATGCACGTGGGAGGAAAACTTCGACTTGGGTTGCATTGATTAAGAACTAGTTCCTTTTCTGAGGGTGGGAAAACTGAACATTTTGGCTGGGTTGGGAAATCCCTAAAAAAGATTGGACAAATATTCAGCCATATTTCCCCCTGTTTAATAAATCCAGTTAAGCGTTCAGTTAGTCCCACCCAGGTTCGAATAGCTCAGTGATTGGAATGGCATTACAAATATTATTTATTTATTGCGTTTATATCACACTTTTTTCTCCAAGGAGTTCCAGGTGATGTATGTGGTTCTCCTCCTCCTCATTTCAACCCCACAACAACCCTGTGAGGTAGGTTAGGCTGAGAGGCAGTGACTGGCCCACCCAGTAAGCTTCATGGCTGACTGGGGATTTGAAAGCTGGTCTCCCAGGTCCTAGACCGACACTCTAACAACTACACTATACTGCCTCATGTGCTGCTGAATAACTGTAGAAAGCTATTCTGTAGGCTGAGAGTCTATTATTTGAAGTTATACAGTGGCATGGCCTCATCTGAAATAGCTTTGGAATATCTTCCAAATTCCTTATGTTCAGGGTCTCCGTGTTCTGGGATCTATTTTCATGTAGAAGGTCCCAGGTTCAGTCCAGGGAGGGCTGACAGGGGAGGTCCTCTGCCTGAAACCTTGCAGAGCCACTGTCAGCCAGCATAGATCAGTTGTGTGGAACCTTTGGTTCTCCAGATGTTGGTGACCTACAGCTTGCATCATACCTGGTCATTGGCTACACTTGCTTGGGCTGATGGGAGTTGGAGTTCAGCAACATCCAGAGAGTAAAAACACACACACACAAGTAGAGCCTACTGGGTCAGGGCAAAGGAGGCCCATCTAGTCCAGCAACCTGTTCTCATGGTGGCCAACCAGATGCCTGTGCAAACCCTCAAGTAGGACCCATGCAGAACAGCACTCTCCCCTCCTGTGGCTGCTAGCAACTGGTATTCAGAAGCATCACTGCCTCTGACAGTGGAGGTGGAACACAGAGTTCATGGCTAGTAGCAATTGATAGCTTTCTTCTCCATGAATTTGTCTACAGCTTCTGCATATCTGGTTTAGACAATCCCCATCTAGATGGATCAATGGTAGCTTCATTTGTACCTTTGCAATATACGATCCTTAAGACTCCCCCACCCCCCCAGTTTGGACTTGCAAGAATCCAAAGGCTTCTTGGCAGCGCACCCTGTCCTCATAAGAAGGAAGATGAGTCCTGTTCTCACAGTGACCAACCTGATGACTGTGGGAAACCTGTACTCAGGACCCAAGCAGAAGAACTCCCCACCTGTGCCTTTTTGCAACTGGTATTCATCAGATCACTGGTCCATCCAGCTCTGTATTGTTTACTACTAGCAGTGGTTTTCTCGGATTTCAGATAAGGATCCTCTCTCAGCCCTACCTGGAAATATTGGCAGATGGGGAAAATTTATAACTTATCTACAAGACCATTGTAAACAGTTAAAATCGTTAGCAGGATTGGAATATCACTTGTAGTTTAAGGCTAAATTCTGGACACAATGGAGACGTAAAGGATTTGGATTACCATAAAAGATGCGGGAGGAAATGATTAATAATAGGACCCACAAAGGGGAGCATGGAAGTCCAGGAGATTCCTTGGAATCATGTTTTTATGTTTGATATATCTCTGTAAAATTTTAATTTGAAAAACCAAATAAATATTTTTTAAAAAGGAAATACTGGCAGATGTTCTGCCATTAGAATGTAACATGAACCTGCTGGATCCGGCCAATGGCCCATCTAGCCCAGCATCCTGTTCTCACAGTGGCCAACCAGATGCCCCAATGGGAAACCAGCAAGCAGGACCTGAGCTCAACAGCACTCTTGCCCACCTGCAATTCCCATCCACTGGCATTCAGAAGCATTCTTTCCTCTGACAAACATGGAGGCAGAGCCTAGTCATCATGGCTAGCAGCCACCCTTGTTTCCGAGGCTTGCAAACACAGCTTCCCGCCGCCATGGCTGGGCCAATATCATTGCGAGCCAATGGCATGTCCTTGCTCAGCCTGGTAGTTAGGATTGATGGTTTCCTCTTCGCTCCCCGAGCAAACAACTCCATGCTGGTACCCATTCCGGGGCTCAACAGACCCAACTGGGAGGTGATCCAGAGATGAGGAGGGCAAGGGGGCAGGTGTCCTCTCCTCCCCAACCTCCATCCATTCATCAAGAGCCCCTCCAGGCAGCAGTGAAGCTGTACAGCAGCAGCAAATGGGTCCAGAAGGGGATGAGGGGAGAGGTGGTGGTTGCTCCGTCCACAATGGCTGGCATGGACACTCAGCCGGAGTATCTTGTTGCTCCATCCACAATGGCTGGCATGGACACCTTGCCAGCCTGGGGCCTGTGCCAGGCCGGCACGCTTGGCTGCACCCCGCTTTCGGGACGGCGTTGGGCGCTTCCATGCAAAAGCAACATTTGGCCGAACGTCCCACTAATTGCATTCCTTTGGCACCCCTCTTCGCTCTTCCCTCGCCGCAGAGAGCCAAGTTGAATGCTAATGTGCGGGAGCATCGCTCGGGCAGTGTGACTCCCCCCACCACACCTGCCGGCTTCCAAACGCCTCTGCCCAGAGTATTAATTAAGCAATTAAGGCCAGAGAGGTGCCCATTAGATTGTGAGCCCTGGTTAAATGCTTCCTTTCAAGGTCACAGAAGTCTAGTGTGGTGCCAGCCATTAGAGGCTGCCCAGTTTCACTCCAGGGGTCACATACCGAGAATGAGGATGCTGTTATCTTTAGTACTGGCATCCATCCCTTTTGGACTTCTCGCTAATGTGGAGGATGGGCCTGGACGTTTTCCATTTCCTTCTTCCTTTCTCTCTCTCTACCGCCCCTCCCGTACTTTCTCCCCACTGCCACAAGGGCTTTCTCTCTGTACTCAGAAGAAAGGGCCTTTTGAGCAAAATAATAAAAAGCTCAAAGGAGAATAGTATCGATGAAGCCTTCCCAGGATCTCTTTTGTCACTGCCCTTTCAGGGGAAAAACGCCCTCCTTCCTTCCTCCCCCTCCCCTCCATACTGTGACTCAGCTTAGATGCTGATCAAAGCCCAGGTGAAAAAGCAGCCATCCTCCTCCTTGGTACCCCCAAATCACCGCATATCCGGTTCATGATTGAGCTTCAGCATTGCTGTTTCATAGGATCATTTTTTCGTGGTTTCTTTCTTAAATTTGTTTTCATTACCTTTTTAACTTTACAAACTATGAACAACTATATATGCATACCTATACATGCCACTAGGCTGCTCTAGGCCCTCACAAGTAGTATACAAAACGGATGGACTTTTGGTAGAGAAGATCCCAGCTTCAATCCTAGGTGGGTAGAGATGCGAAACCCTGGAGAGATGCTGCCAGCCATTTTTCCTCTGGAGACTTCTTGCGCTCTCTGTTTCTGTTCAAAAGGATTCTCTCCGGAGACTGCCAGTCAAAATAATGGACCATAACATCTGCCGTGCACAACATTCCCAGCATCTCCAGGTGTGTTGGGGGAGGGAGAGTCTCCTGCCTGAAACACCAGAAAGTGCTGCCAATCAGTGTAGGCCACACTGACCTCAATGGACCAGTGGGCTGACTTGGCATAAGGTGGCTGCTTATACTGAGAAGGGCCATGGCTCGGTGGTAGGGAGTCTGCCCCGGTTCAATCTCCAGCATCCCTAGGTTGGGCTAAGAGAGAAGCAGACAACTTAGCATTGCTGGGAGGCTGCACTCCCTGTATCCTAAGAAGATCATCATGTCAACGGTGAGAGCAACTTAACCCCCTCAGTTGGCCTTTATGCTTTTGTATCATGTCTATTAGATTGTGAGCTGAGGACTGCCTAAAAAGGTAAAGGTACCCCTGACCATTAGGTCCAGTCACGGATGACTCTGGGGCTGTGCGTTCATCTCGCTTTACAGGCTGAGGGAGCCAACGTTTGTCTGCAAAGAGTTTTTCCGGGTCATGTGGCCAGCATGACTAAGCTGCTTCTGGTGAACCAGAGCAGAACACGGAAACGCCGTTTACCTTCTGCCGGAGTGGTACCTATTTATCTACTTGCACTTGATGTGCTTTTGAACTGCTAGGTGGGTAGGAGCAGGGACCGAGCAACGGGAGCTCACCCTGTTGCAGGGATTCAAACCGCCGACCTTCTGATCGGCAAGCCCTAGGCTCTGTGGTTTAGACCACAGCACCACCCGCATCCCTTGAGGACTGCCTTAGCTTACTATATAATATTAATTGTAAGGGGAGAGGAGTCTTCACACTTCACTTTGTAAGATTGGCAAGCAACATGAGCAGAGGCAGCAATAGTAGCTAACCTTGTACTTTCCAGATATTTTGGACTACAACTCCCATCAGCTATGATTATGGACCATGCTGGCTGGGGCCGATGGGAGTTGCAATCCAAAACACCTGGCATTTATCCTCAGACTACTCCTGCTTTATAACAGGGACAGCACTTAGATCGTAGGTGCTCTACAAGTAATGATGATAATTCATTTGACACTCCTCCCTAATGAGGTAGTTGAGACTTTATTTTCAGTATAGGCAGGGCTGGGGAGGAGATGCCTGCAGCTAAGCATTTGCATGCCCAGGCGTTGCATCCTGCTGCCCTGACTTTATGGAGAAGAAACAGACAGGACAAACTACTTTGGATCAAATAAGGCCACAACTTTATTTATTACAGATGTTAGAGGTATGGCATGAGCATTGGGTATAACTATCGATATTCAGCCTGCCTGCTGGAAGCATTTCTTTTCTGGTCAACCCTGAATTGAGGAGGTCCTATGACTTACGTCAAATAGGAACGGCTCTGCAGGATTGCCACCTTGAGAACTGCTATGGTCTTTGCCCCTGCCTGGGCATCCAGACAGAAACAGCTCCTCCTGGATCCCTTAATGGGATATCCCTTACCTTTCGAGGGGTAGGCAGAGGCTACAACCTGCCCTCCAAGGAAAACTAAGGCTTACCCACTGCCTAAACTGCCAAAAGCTGTGATGATTGCTATGAGGACAGTGCGGAGGACAGTTTGGCTCCCTGCCAACCAGAAACTCTTGCAAGCAGCCATCCACTGTTGGGTTGCACCAGGGCTGGGCGAGGGGACACTGGTCTGCAGTGTACTACAGCTAAACGGATATACAGCAAGAGTACAGGATCTCAGACCTGGAGTCAAATGTGGCCCTCCAGGATTCTCTATCTGGACTGCAGAAATTTTGCAAGGCCAGACCCCCTCTCCCTGGCCCACACCCCTCGCTGGTCCTGCTTCACACCTTCCTTGAATGTTTTTTGCCTGGGTGGAATGCACCCTTGAACTCTGTTCCTGCCTCTTGCTTGTCTGGATGGAGGACAGAGACATATGTGTGTGAGTGTGTGTGTAGAAACTAGCTTATTATAGAAAGGTACAATTCACATTCCTTGCTCTGGCCACTCTGCTGCTGGCCCTGCCCACCACTGCAGCTATGTGCCCCCAACCCAAGGGAATATAGCCCTCAGGCAGAAAAGGGTTCTCCGCCCTGATACACAGGATGTAGCATATGTAAGGCAAAGGTAAAGGACCCCTGGATGGTTAAGTCCTATCAAATGCTACTATGGGGTGTGGCGATCATCTTGCTTTCAGACCGAGGGAGCCGGCATTTGTCCACAGACAGCTTTCTGGGTCATGTGGCCAGCATGACTAAACTGCTTCTGGCACAACAGAATACCATGATGGAAGCCAGAGCACATGGAAATGCCGTTTACCTTCCTGCTGCAGTGGTACCTATTTATCTACTTGTACTGGCATGCTTTTGAACTGCTCAGTTGGCAGAAGCTGAGACAGAGCAATGGGAGCTCACTCCGTCATAGGGATTCAAACTGCCAACCTTCCAATCAGCAAGCCCAAGAGGCTCAGTGGTTTAGACCACAGCGCCACCCGCTCCCTTTTGCAGATGATGTATGTCTCCATGAGTCACTGGAGTCAGCTCCCAAACAAATCTAGGGCTCGTGGATCAAAGGATGGGGTTTTGAGGCAGCCTCGAATACCCTCACCTGTCTTTTAATACATTGAGTCTTGGTTTGGGTGTGAGAAATCTCACCCTCTGGTGTGGGGTAGCGGTGGGGAGAGGGTGTCGGAGCTCGGATTTTGACAAGATTTATTTCGGGAGTGCTTTGCAGCTTCAGTCATTTCCAGATTTAGAAGCTGAGGCAAGGACAAAGAAGGAGTTCAGCTCTACTTGAGAAATGGAGGTGTGTGGGGGGGAGGACTTGAAAACCTGGTAGGGATCAAGTCCCTTTCCCCCTCCTCTGGTGCAGGCTCATTAACAGGAAAAACAAGGTGCCAGCTGGTTTCATGGATAGAAAGCAAAGAAAATAGGAAACCATCAGGCAGGCTCCTTGGAAATGGGCAGGGAGCCCATCCAGGTGTTTGCATATCTGGAAGGAGAGGCATCCACCACCATTCCTGCCCCCCCATCTATGTCAGTCATCTCAAAGAAATCAGGCACTCCTAGATTTCACAATCTGGAGCATTGGGATTCCTGGATGCTTTGAAACAAGAACATCTGGAAAGAACAAGGAACAGTGTGAGAGATTTTTGCCATGGGGCAGAGGAAGGAATGAAAAGAGGCAAGTCTGAAACCCCTTTCAGCACCAGGCATTTTTGCACCATTGCGGCCTCACGCAACAGTGGGTGCGTGATTTTTTTGGTGCAGGCTATAGCCATGGACATGCTATGTGATCTGATGGTGAATTTGGGATGACCCAATGTAAAAATCCTGAGGATCCATGGACTTTTACCTCCTCCCTCCCAAGCAGCCTCCTCTAGTGTCCCTTATCTCTCTTCCGATCCCACCAATCAGCTGTTTCCTTTCAACACTCCCTTCCCTCTTGTTTGCCTTAGTGTCTTTTCCTTAGGTGGAGCAGTTTTTTGCTCCTCCTTTTCTTCTAATTTCTCTCCTTATTGCTTTAGTCTTCCTGTTTCCCCCGTTTGCAAGTTTGCTGTCTTTACCTTCCCCCTCCCAGGCAGCCTCCTTTATCTCTAGCATCCCTTATCTCTCTCCCCATCGGCAAACAACCAAAGGCCTTGTTTTAACACCCACTTCCCTCTTCTTCTTTTTTTAAAAAAAAGCATGATCAGCTTTTTGCGCCTGGGCAATTTGGCTCCAGGGACCACACATTCGTTCCATAAGACACACAGACATTTCCCCTTACTTTTTAGGAAGAAAAAAAGTGTGTCTTATGGAGTGAAAAACACGGTAGGTTCAGAACACGAGAAGAACTCAGTGGTAGCATCATAGCCAGACACTGGGAAGACGTGTCAGGAGTGAACATGGACCACTGGTACCAAACTGTATGGGAAACTGCCTTACTAGAAAAGCTAAGCAATAAACAGAAACAAAGATAGGGACAAATAAAAGAGGATGCCTTCACCCCAGTGTGGCTCCCCTTTATTATACATACAGCCCCACAAGACAACAACGAGAACCCACTGACGACATACAAATCGATATGGCTATCTTGACCCAACAACCCCTCACACACATAAACAAAGCTCAGTGCAGTCAGCTGAAGGCAGCCACCCATGCCCAGGGCCCCCTCAACCTCTCTCACTGCCAATGAAAGCTAATGAATGAGTAGAACAAGAACTGACCCACATGACGCTGACACAAAAACCTCACACATACACAATGAAAGAGTGAAAAGAATGAAAGTTTACTAACCACCCACTCTCTTCTCCCCCAACCCTATACTGTATACAACCTTAAAGTCTTACATTGAATATAACTGATCTGTATACCACAACAGGAGGCCCAGAAACAGGGCCTGAGTGCAGCAGCAGCGGCTGTCATGGGTGATCAAAGTCCTGGCAGGGGACGTCAGGACCGGGGGCAAGATGGCGGGATGGGAGCAGGAACGGGGGTAGAGTCCGAGGGTCAGAGAACCGGGAGTCAAGAAATCAAGGGTCCGAGGATCAAGAAGCAAGGAGTCAAGAAGCCGAGGTTCAAGGATCAGGAAGCAAGAAGCCCAAGGCAGGAAGCGTATTGCTGTGGCAAAGAGCCGAAGGGAAATGCTGACCTTATATCCCTTCCCAGCTCTTGCCACCAGGTGCTGTGAGTTACCAATCGGCTTCACCTGTGAGACCGCGCCTTGCCTCTTCAGAACAAACTTAGGAAGGCCCCAGTCCTGCAAAGTCCTATTGGTCACAGGGCCTGGCTCCTGCACGCACACCTGACAGCAGCATTCTCCCTGCTTGTGATTCCCAGCAACAGGAATTCAGAGGCTACAGGTGAGAACATAATAACACAACGTCAGGGACTGGACTGAGGAAGAATGGTGGGGACCACCCCCCCTTTTCTTTAACCCTCTTGAGAAGAGGAGGACAGTATAGATTTACAAAAGTGGTTTGCAGAAGGTCATAGTTCAGAAATTGCAGAGGGGAGAGGCTGGGAAATATTGGGAGAGCAGCAGCAGGAAAAGAAGGACCAGGGGAGAAACAGCTGACAGACTCAGCGTCTTTAGAAAGCATTCCCTTTCCCAGGACCCGGCATGCATTGAGAGTAGTAGAACAGAAAGCTCAGAGGCAGAAAACACAGATGAGCCAACACAGGGATGACGTATAATAGGAGAGATAGAGGGGGTGGGACTTTACACGGAGCAACACCATTTATCTAAGAGAGATGGCATTTCTACGCTCGCTCTCTCTCTGTGACTATTGAATAAAAGACTTGGTAAGAGCTCTTCTTGTTTGTCTGCTCCTTGGCTGCCACTGTGGGAGGGATCGGGTTCCCCGAAGCCTGACACACAATAGGAGAACAGCAGCATCATAAGAACACAATAGGAGCCTGCTGCATCAGACCAAAGGGAGTCCAGCATCCTGTTCTCACAGTGGCCAATCAGATGCCCATTACCTGTGGGAAACATGCAAGCAGGATTCGAGCACAAGAGCCCTCTCCCCTTCTGTTGTTTTCGGCAACTGGTACTCAAGGGCAATGCTGCCTCCAACTGTGGAGGCAGAGAGTAACCACCATGGCTATGAGCCAACTATAGTCCTTTCCTCCATGCATTTGTCAGATCCTCTTTCAAAGCCATCTAGATTGGTGACTTTCAGAGGGGCAAAAACATTTAAGGCAAAAAAAGGGGGGGAGTAAGGTGCAACATACCCTCCAACCTCTCTCCAGTGAAAACAGGGACATCCTAAGGGAAAGCAGGACACTCCAGGATCATGTCAGAAACTGGGATGGCTTCTGTAAATCCAGGACTGTCCCTGGAAAATAGGTACACTCGGAGGGTCTGGGAATGGAGGGCCGGTGGGGGGCATGGCCTGGGGAAAATCACAAGGGCCAGATTGAGAGGCCTGGGGGCTGCATTTGGCCCCTGGGCTGGAGGTTCCTCACCATTGCTCAAAGAGAACATGGCTAGCTTGATTATGCCTCTGCATCTGTAGAAGGCTTGATTTAACAACGGCACTGCTGAGCATTTTTCTAAAAGCCTTATTTGTGTTCAGGCTCCCTGTGGCCGCTGCCACATTTAAACTGAATTGGCTGCTGACCAGGCCCGGTCTGCCATCAGGCCAGGAACCCCTTGGCTGGTGCTAGGATTGGCTGGCGATCCACTTTAAACGGGACGCCAGTCTCAATCAGCTTTGCACAGCTACATTTTCTCTCGCTTTTAAACTGCTTAAAGGCCCGCTTTTAAACTGGGCCTTGTTATGGCCCCCGTGGCCCAAATGGGATTTGCAACCTCGAGCGCTGCGCTTTGTTGATAATAAGCAAACACTCTTTCCGAGGGTAAACTCAGCTCTTAAGCTACTCACGCGGTCCCTGGATAGGAAGCAGAATGGAGGAGCCTGTGTCAGGCCTAGTCAGTTCGGTAATAGAGAATCCGAATGGACGTCCAGGGAGTGATGCGGATGCTAAGTGGGCCTCATTTAGTCTCCAAGAGGTCACCATTGCTTGCCCTTCATTACACAGCACTTGTTAACAGGCAGGGATTCCAGTCTTTTATGAATGAGGGGGAGATAGCGATCCTATTTATGCCTCCCTTGGCACCAGGGCTGACTTGATGAAGGTTCCTCCTTAAGGAGGAGAGGAATAAAATGATGGGGAGGCGGATTTGACGGCAATTCCCAGATACAGTGGTACCTTGGGTTAAGAACTTAATTCATTCCAGAGGTCTGTTCTTAACCTGAAACTGTTCTTAACCTGAAGCACCACTTTAGCTAATGGGGCCTCCTGCTGCCGCCACGCCGCCAGAGCATGATTTCTGTTCTCATCCTGAAGCAAAGTTCTTAACCTGAGGTAATATTTCTGGGTTAGCAGAGTCTGTAACCTGAAGCGTATGTAACCAAAGGTACCACTGTAGTTGCATCTGACACCCTTCCAGAGCTTCAGAGGGGATCACTGGCTACTCGCTTCTGATGTAGCCACCCCACCCGATGCCTGTGGATCAATAAATGTTTGTGTCCCTCTCTGATAACACTAGAGCTCGTGGTCATCCAATGGCACTGAATGTAGGAAGATTCTGGCAAGATAAAAGGAAGTATGCAGCACATACAGTGGTACCTCGGGTTAAGAACTTAATTCGTTCTGGAGGTCCGTTCTTAACCTGAAATTGTTCTTAACCTGAGATACCACTTTAGCTATTGGGGCCTCCTGCTGCCACCATGCTGCTGGAGCACAAAAAAGCAAAGTTCTTAACCTGAGGTACTATTTCTGAGTTAGCGGAGGCTGTAACCTGAAGCATCTGTAACCTGAAGTGTCCGTAATCTGAGGTACCACTGTAGTTAAACTATGGAACTCCCTCCCACAGGAGGCAGAGATAGCCACCCATGCAGATGGCTTTCAAATCAGGAATAGACAAATTCATGGAAGATAGAGCTATTGATGGCTACTAGCCAGAGTGGCTATGCTTTGCCTCCACGGTCGAAGACAGTAATGCTTCTAAATACCAGTTGCTGGAAACTGCAGGAGGGGAGAGGACTCTTTGGCTTGGGTCCTGCTTGAAGGTCTAAGTGATCTGGGTGGTCACTGTGACAGCAGGAAGCTGGGTTAGATGGGCCATTGGCTTGATGGAGCAGGCTCTTCTCTCTTTTGCTCTTATGGTACCTGCCTCTTCTCTTTTTAAAGTAAATCATTTGTTTTCAAACTTTTTATTGATTTTGTTCCATACTGCTTTGAGCTGCTTCAGGGACCCCATAAAAGCCTCCCCCATGCAGCATAAATATAGACACCAAAAAAAGGACAGAGAAAAAATATTTCACAAAGTGCCCAGCACTTTCCTTAGGGGCAGCTGGAAGCTAGAAGGGGTTACTAGGTAATTCCAAATCAGGTATCACCACACTATAGCTTGAACCTGTGATTGTCCAGATGTTGGTGGACTCCAGCCTAGTCAGTGTGGCCAATGATCAGAGGAGTTGTAGTACAGTAACATCTGGAGGGCCACAGGTTTCCCACCCCAGACTCATAGTTTCAGGAGATCAGATCAGCACCTTGGAGAGCTCCCCATTCAATCAGGCCTGGCTGGTTCCTTCTTAGACAACACAGGAAAGATGTTGCTGTAGTAGAGAGCTGGAGATGTCTGAGCAGGTAAGACCTGTTGTGCTGTAGGCTCTGCCCTCTGGAAAGAGCTGTCTGTGGTGCTTAAATAAGCCTTGAATTTATAACCTCTGCAGCTTTGGGCTCATTATCCAAGGAGGGTTGAGTGGAGTATGTCTTGAACTCAGTACAGTAGCTGCCTTCCCTTCTGAGCAATATTCCAGGGGCCACATGCCATCATTGGAAAATAGTGGGTAGAGTGGTGTTTCCCAAAGTGAGCATTACCACCCCCTGGGAGGCGCTGGAACGATCCAGGAGGGCAGTGGTAGCCTCTGGTGCAATTGAGGGGCATTGAATAAAAATAAGGGGGCAGTGGAAGCATAAAGAAAGAAGAGGAGAAAAAATCAATAAAGCATTCATACATGTTTCATCCGTTGTGTAATGACACTTACCAGCAGGTCAGGTGCCGTTGCGGGACAGCGACAACGTCTTCCTGAGATCTGGCAGTCATGCTGGAGGCGAGGTTGTTTTCCTGTGCTTGGGCAAACCCTGTGTGTAAAGTGAATGTGACTGTGATTTACTTCAATAAATAGTTGTACAATTTCAAGCTCCAAGGTGTCATATTTACAACCACATTTTCTTTACCATGTTGTAGGATGTAGGTAGAAATATAGGTACATAAAAGAATGCAAATTTGTCACTGCATCTTTTGGTTTGTTCGCTTAAAGAAGGTAGATTTCCTGGGGTGTTTGTGTGTGCTGAGTGCCCGCTCCCCAAAGGGAGGGGTAGGCCAAATAAGTTTGGTGTCAGGCAGCAGAGGAATCAACCCCATGGCAGGTTTCCAGGAATGGATATGACAAGGAAAAGTCCTTACCATATGCTTTTTATTCAATATTCACAGAGAGAGGCTTGGGAATGCAGCCTCTTGGAATAATGGCATTGTCCTGAGTGACTCTCTGCCCCCTTTTCTCCCACTTCCTCATTTGTCACCTTGTCCTTTATGGGTGGCACTGAGGGCCCTTTGCTTCTAAGCCCTTTACTCTACTACTTTCAAGGCTCGCCGAGTTCTGGGAGAAGGGGGGTCTGGAATGCTTTCTAATGACACTGTGACCGTCAGCTGTCTCCCTTCTGGTGCTTTGTCTTCCTCCTCCTCTCCCATTATTTCCCACCTTTTCCCCTCAACTGCCTCTGAGCTGTGACCTCCCTCAAACCCCTGTTGTAATTCTGAACTGTCTCCTTCTTTTCTGGAAGGATCAGGCTGGGGAGGCGGTCTCCACCATTCCTCCTCTGCCCAGTCCCTGACATTTGGAAACCTCTGGGGTAGAGTATTGGATATAGATTTTACTTTTGTACAATTTTACACTCACAAATCCCTCTCCCCTCTCTCTCCTCCAACCAGGCAAGCACTTTCTAGCCAGGACTAAACACTCAAGGAGAGGGTGAAGGGGAGGGATGGCTGGCTGATGAGAAGGGATAGCCTGGGAAGCTTCTCAAGGGCCCTCAGGCCTCTGAATCTTCACCCCTGTTTTAGCATCAATAATGGGAGATGGCTCCATTTGATGTCTCTGAAAATGATTGCTCTGTGCATTTATTCCCTGAAAACCTATGTAGGTTCTGGAACCCCTTAAGCACAGTTGGCCTCCTTCTCAGCAGATAACTTTCAGGTTATCACAGAATCGCCTCTCCCTCCTTCCTTCCCCACCCAGAGCAGATTTTTCTTCCTCTCTGCTGGCTTTTGTGTCTTGGGGACTTATTTATTCCCGGGCACAGCTCCTGGCTGATCTCATCCCATAAACACAAAACTCTGTTAAAGCAAAGCCCCACACTTTTATTCTTTGCTGCTAGCAAAGACCAGAAGAGGATTTGGGAGATTCTCACCTTGCCAAATGAGGTGCGCAGGAGCCCGGCTTCGAAGGAACTCTGGAGCAAATGAGATATTTTCCTTTCTTCCTCTTTATTGCCGTGTCCTTCCGAGAATTGCCTTGGCACCGGTGGTGGCCTGCAAATGCAGTCTGTGTCCTGAGTCTTATGCTCCCAACAGGGGGAAGCCAAGAGTCGAGGAGGGGATGAATAGAAAAGGCCTAGCAGGAATCTGGCTCCATTTCCCTGATGGACAGATTCTCATCTCTTTAGGAAGGAGCCCCCAACAAACTGGTGGGGAGATTCAGTTTAGGCTAAGGGAAAGGAAAGCAGAGTGTTTCAGAAATGAGTGTGCAGATTCAGGAAATGTAGTGCTCCTGGGAGCTGTGGTGAAAGAGCAAGGGAAAAAAAGAGAGAGAAGTGCTAGGAAATGAGGAAATAAATGACACAGTCCTTGCAGAAAGGCTGACTCAGAGAGGAGCTAGCAGGGGATCTAGCAGCAGGGAAATCTATATTAACGCTGAGGTTGGAGGGAGAGGCAAAGAGACAAAAAAAAAGAAGAAAAAAGATGAAAGGGGAATGGATTCATTTGTGAGCCACTTGTTAACAGCTTCAGCTGATGCCCCTGGGAAATATGAAACGAATACAATAAGTCAGGAGATGGTTTTGCTTTCTCTCCATCTTATATTTTGAGCTCATTTTTCCCCCTGCAGGGTCATCAAGCGAAGGTCAGCTGGCTTTGATTCTAAGTCCGCATTGTCTCGCTGGGCTTTTTCTTTTTTTCCCTTCCAGGTCCAAAATGTGAAAATAAAATCAAATAAAGTTCATTATTTCATCGGCTTGTCGGCCTCCCTTTCAAGTTCTCTGAGCAAAGCCACAAAAGGCTTCTCTCCCTCCCTCCCTCTCTCCCTCTCTCCTGCTCCTGGTTAGGTTCCCCTAAACTGTGCAAATTGCCTGCGATGTAAAATTTTAAATGCAGCACTTTGGTTTTAAGCCTGGCTCCTGGTTCTGTCTGTCTGTCTGCTATTTCAGGGTTTGTTTATAGATCAGTTTATAGATCGTACAATATACAGTGGTACCTCGGGTTAAGAACTCAATTCGTTCTGGAGGTCCGTTCTTAACCTGAAACTGTTCTTAACCTGAGGCACCACTTTAGCTAATGGTGCCTCCTTCTGCTGCCGCACGATTTCTGTTCTCATCCTGAAGCAAAGTTCTTAACCTGAGGTACTATTTCTGGGTTAGTGGAGTCTGTAACCTGAAGCATCTGTAACCAGAGGTACCACTGTAGTGACCACTTAATTTTTTTTAAAAAAAAACCAAAACCCTCAAATCAGATTGCAAAAAGAACGGGACAATAAGATTATCTGTGAACACTGTTAAAAACAGCTAATAATAATAATAATAATAATAATAATAATAATAATTTAAATCAGTAATAAACTAAAAACAGATTAAAACACATGTCAGAATTCTACATATCAGGGTAGGTATGTCTAAGCAAACATGTTTTTAGCAGGTGCCAAAAAGAGCACAGTGAAGATGCCTGCCCAGGTATCAATCGGTAGGGAGTTCCAAAGTGTAGGTGTTGCCGCATGAAACAATTGATTTCTTACAAATGTGGAATGAGTACTGTGTGGCACATTGCATAGTGCCAGATCCTCAGATCGAAGTGGTCAAGTGAATGTATATGGGGTAAAGACAATTTGGCAGGTGGAGGAAGTTCAGGCCCAGGAGCCAATTGAGTCTGTCCACACTTCTCCATGTCTCAGGACTCTTCCCAGGACACCCCCTTTCTAGCCACACCACATCCTTTACTGGCCTTGCTAAATATGCTCCTTCAACGATTTTCCCAGCTGAGATGCGTCCTTGAATGACTTGTTGCCAGGCTTCGGGGAATTGGTAAATAAGCAGATCAAACAAAAGGAGTGTTCTTACCAGATAAGTTCTTTAATAATCACAGTGAGAGACAAAGGAATGCATGCCTCTCTAAAAATGGTGTTGCTCCCAGTTAAGGTTTACCCCCTGCATCCCCATTAATCTACGTCACTCCTAGGTCAGGTAATCTGAGCTTGTTGCCTCTGCACTTTCTGTTCTATCACTTTCAAAGCCTCATCACTTGATATATCATCTATCATCTATCTATCATCTATCTATCTATCTATCTATCTATCTATCTATCTATCTATCTATCTATCTATCTGCCTATCTCAAATAAGAGGAGCCTCCCTGCTGGATCAGGCAAATGATCCATCTCACCTAACACCCCTTTCTCTTGCTGCCCAGCCAGATGTCCCTATTGGAAGCCTGCCAGTGGGACCTGAGCCCAAGAGCACTCTCCCTTCATCCCATTTCCAGCAACTGGTATTCAGAAGCATTCAGAAGCTAAGGAGAGCCTGCTGGATCAGGCTAATGGCCCATCCAGCCCAGAATCCTGTTCTCACAGGGGCCAACCAGATGCCTGTGGGAAACCTTCAAGCAGGACCCGGGCCCTGGAGTCCTCTCCCCTCCTGCAGTTTCCAGCAACCGGTATTCAGAAGCCTCTGGCAGTGGAGGTGGAACAAAGCCCTAGCAGGCAGTAGCCACTGATAGCCTTCTCCCTCCATGAATTTCTCCAATCCTGTTTCAAACTCCTCCAAGTCAGTGGCCAACACTATATCCAGTGGATGCATGTTCCACAGGTTAACTCTGTGCCGTGCCTCTCTAATGGTAGCTCTCCTTCTGAGCCATGAATTAGCTAAGTTTATGCTTCCTGTGCTCTCCAGAGTTGCTTGGCATTCTGAGAAGAGGGAGAGGAAGCTCTTTGTCCATCTCTGGTCTCCTCCTCTGACCCTGCTAACCCTGCCCTGTTAGCCGCTTCCTTCTGGGTCAGGCAAATCCCCAAAGTGCAGTTGCGGAGGAGCAGGGGGCTCCCATCAGGAAGCCCGTTTCAATTAATATTAGTTCAATTAGCCTCCAACACAAAGGTTATTTCCTGCAATTTTATGGCTTTTGAATGGTATTTGGGCGGGCATAATTCACTCCTGGCTCAGTTAACTACTGGAAATAAAACTGGCATCTGGGGTAATATATTCATTACGCCTCTCCCCTGGAAAGTGCCATTAAAAAAAGTCTCTCCCTGGCACTGTTCTAACAAGTACAGATGACTTGTCAGGCTCTTTCCTGGCAAAGAGGAGCTGAGCCGAGATGCCTGCTTGGGATTCTGGCCAGCAGTGGAAGAACCAGCAGGCTGGCAAAGCATCATTCTCAGAACTGGGGTATTGCTCTCAGCTGGGCATGAGGTTCATGCTGGGGAAGGATGGCAGCGATGTCCGGACCTGTTCAGTACACACACCAGAACCGTCCAAATATGGCTTCCTTCTTATTCATACTAGGGCCTGGGAGAGACTCGGGTTTGAATCCCCAGAGTGCAGCAAAGTCTCCCGCCTGATGTCAATAGGCAGGGAGTTCCAACGTGTGGTGCTATCGCTCTAAAATGCCAGTTTCTTACAACTGCAGGAGTAATAGGTGGCACCTGTAAGAGTGCCACTTCCACCGGGCAAAGTGATTGAGTGGGTAAGGCAATTTCACAGGTAAACTGCTTCCAAATTACTAAGGGTTGTGCACACTAATAGTAACAGCTTGAACTTGTCCTGGTAGTATATAGCAAGTACAGTGGTACCTCGGGTTAAGAACTTAATTTGTTCTGGAGGTCTGTTCTTAACCTGAAACTGTTCTTAACCTGAAGACCACTTTAGCTAATGGGGCCTCCTGCTGCCACTGTGCCACCACTGCACGATTTCTGTTCTTATCCTGAAGCAAAGTTCTTAACCTGAGGTACTATTTCTGAGTTAGCAGAGTCTGTAACCTGAAGCGTCTGTAACCTGAAGCGTATGTAACCCGAGGTACCACTGTATTCAGCAACGGTGTTATATGGCCACTCCTGTCAGCAATCATGTATATGACACTGGGGCTGATGGGAATTATAGCAGACTCTCCAAGTGTCCCTGTTTTCCAGGAGCAGCCCTGGATTTTGATATGATCTCAGAATGTCCTGCTTTTCTTTAGGACAACCCTATTTTCATCGGAGAAATGTTGGAGGGTATGTTATTGTCCAAAACATCTGGAGGGGATCAGCTTGGCGAAGGGTTGTCTGGAGTTTATGATGGGCCAGATGTGGGCTAACAAGCTTGGCAGTATCCAGCAAAATAATTACATGACCAGAAGGGCTTCCATTGACGCAACTGGACTTCCCACCGTCTCTTTCCTTGGCGTGCTGTGCTGAGATCTACAATTTCTATCACACTCTGCTTCTCATACCTCCCACATGAATTGCTCCAGTCCATCCCATCACCTCATTTTTTCAGATTGATCAAGCAACCCACAGGGACCAGATCTCCCCCCTCAATTTGCCTTACATTGTGCTTTTTTGTGGGGTGGGGTGGGGTGGGGATGTATTTTTGGCTTGGCAGCTGCGCCTTGACATCAATCCAAAGACGGCAGCGTCTTTGATTCTCCTTTGGGTGTGGTGCAAAACTTTGGTCTGCTTCTCTCCTGGTTATTGATTGCCAAGCCCCAAACCTTAAATTTACTGCCATCTCATGGAACGGGCACAGAGATTCTGTGGTTATAAATTAGCTTGATCGATTCGGTTAATGGCTCGAGTCTTTATATCAAAGTGGCATTTTGTAAATGTAAGGGGGAAATAGCTGGGCTTTCATGGAGGCCAGAGCTGACATCTCTCCAGGATCCACTGGGGATCCACAAGTTTGGAACACAGGAATCTGCCTTATACTGTGCCAGGTCATCTAACTCAGTGTTGGCTACACTGGCTGGCAGCAGGTATTCAGGCAGGGACTCTCTCCCAGCCCTACCCAGATATGCCAAGTATCAAACTGCATGTGGAGTGTGGACTCTCCAGGATATGGGTTGAATGGGATGCTGACAGTCTTTGGAGGCAGAATCATAGAATTCTATAGTTTGAAGTGATCCCAAGGGTCATCTAATCCAATCCCCTGCAATGCAGGAATATGCAGCTGGCTCATATGGGGATTGAACCCACAACTTTGGCATTTACAGCACCACGCTTTAACCAGCTGAGCCGGATGAACCAAATAGTCTGACTCAGCAAAAGGCACCTACCCATGAGTCAGTTCAGTCAATAGGAGGAACAGAAGACCTCTCTCCCCACCACAATTTACACATGGACTTTGCTGCTTCTGCCATGGCCATCTGGTTGAGATGACTTTCCAAGCAGAGTTAGACCAATGCATGGCGGAGGAGGGCAGAAATGACAGCTATGGGCACCATCTCAATTGATAAATGGCACTTCCTGTCTTCAGAGGCAGAATTTCAAATGCTGGAGGCAGATGACAAAAGGAGGTTGTGGCCATTATGCTACACTTGTGGGCATCTCAGTGGCATCTAAAAACAGCTTCTGAAAATGCTTCCCTCCCACCCACCTACTGGCGTCACAATGATACCTGAAGAAAGCTTCCCACGGGAGGCAAAGTGAGGCTTTTTGGCAAGCCTAAGCATCAGAACATAAGAAGATCCTGCTGGATCAGGCTAATGATCCATGTAGTTGGAGGCAGTGATGCTTCTGAATACCAGTTGCTGGAAAGCTCAGGAGGGAAGAGTGCTCTTGTGCTTGGGTCCTGCTTGTAGGGCTTCCCATTGGGGCATCTGATTGGCCACTGTGAGAACAGGATGCTGGACTAGAGGGGCCACAGACCTGATCCAGCCAGGCTCTTCAGATGCTCTGACGATGGTGACACAATTTCCATAAGACAAAAAGCTAGAGGCTTCCTTTTTAGAGGTACATAAAACCACCAGAAACTTCTCAGTTGGTTAGAACAAAGTGCTGATAATGCCAAGGTTGCATTGTATGGGATAGCTCCATATTCCTGCATTGCAGGGGGTTGGACTAGATGTTCCTCAGGGTCCCTTCCAACTCTACAATTTTATGATCTATGATCCAGAAAGGGGTCTTTGAATACCAGTGGAGCTTCCGCATGGTTCTGATTCCAGCCTGAGAAGGATGTCTCTCCACTACTGAAACTTCCATAGCAAATGATCTTGCAAAAGTTGATGCATGACGAGTTATTATTTTTACCAGCCAGGGAGCCTGTTTGGAGAAAAGCCTCCTCAAAATGATCAGTCCTTTCTTTGATCAGAAAAGTTCTTCTGCTTCTCTCATAGAAGGAGACACTCTTTTCTCCTAGGAAAACAAGTGTGTGAGTGAGAGAGCGGGGGTGGGGGGTGGAGAGGGAGAGGGAGAGATGTTTTGCAAATATCAGCTGCAAATTGATCTAACTAAACGGCTGCTCTGAGAAGATAGAAGGAACAGCAGTGCCTCAATTTCTGGAGTGTCACCTGGATGTCTCCAAAGACTTTGACACCTGAGCTGTGAGCTCTGGTGGATTGGAAGTGACATTCTGCTTAATAGCGGGAATGAAGATGAATTGCCATGGATCTGGCTGGAGTAGAGTCATTCCACCTGTTTATCCCTCGCTCTCCCACCTGCTTTTGGAGCGGCCAAACTCTGCTCTCTCTGTTTCAGCCAGTTCTGAGCGCCACATTTAAAGGAGGACGTCACAGGATCGTGCCCAGAGAAAAGTGACCAGAATGATGAGAGTTCTAGAGACAAAGTATTCAAATGAACAGTTGGAAGAGTTGAGTACATTAGGAACACGGGAAACTGCATTATACTGGGTCAAACTATTGGTCCATCTAAATATTGTCCACACAGACTGGCAGTGGCTTGGCAGGGTTTAAGCAGGGCTCTCAACCATCCCTGGAGTGCCATTGGGGATTGAACCTGCAACCTTCTACATACAAAACAGATGCTCTACCACTGAGTTGCATCCCTTGCCCTATCATAGAAAGCTTCCTTATAACTGAGTCAGACCACTGGATCATCTAACTCAGTCCTGTCCACACTGATTGGCAGCACCTCTCTAAGGTTTGAGACACAGAGTGGCTGGGGATTGAACCTGGTACTTTCTGCATGCAAGGCAGAGACACACACCCTGAGTTACTCCCTAGCTCAGCTCCTTGGTCCATCTTGTCTAGCATCATCTTCACTAATAGGCAGTGGCTCTTCTGGATTCCAGGCAGAAATCTTTGTCCCACAAAGCTGTGCTGGTTGGGGCTGATGGGAGCTGGTAGCCATAATGGTTAGGGAATTGGGCAAGCAGCTGGGAGTCCAGGGTTCAGATACCCAATGAGCCACAAAGCTCTCACTTCATGGCCGGCTTTCTGCCCTGGTGGAACCTTGTTGCACAGGAGAAAACACAAGTCCTTTACCAAATATTTTTATGCAATGGACCTCTATGCAACCTCCCTCTCCTTCAGAGTTTAGACTGATATGCCTTACAACATCCTGCTTACAACTTCCTCCTCCTCACGCTTCTCTCTCGGACCTCAAGATGAGAGGTTGCCTTGGCTCCAGTGGCATAGCGTGGGTTGCCAGCACCCGAGGCCGTGTGGAGGGAGGGAAACGGATGGAGTATTCATGCGCATTCAACTTCCTAACAGTGTGTGTCACCCTGGGAGATCGTAGCTGCTGAGATAAGAAAAGGAGAGTCGTTCCGTTGTCTGGAGATGTCTCTTCCTGGTTCACACGAAGAAGCCATTTTCAACAACGCCCAGCAACAAAAGTGTGCAGCTGTATTGAAGCAGCACCAGGTGTTGAAATTTTGTACCCCTAAGAATGTTGCACCTGGGGGAACCACCCCTGTCCCCCCATGCTATGCCACTGCTTGCCTCTAACCTCTGAGAACAACTGAGCAAGCATTGCTGCTTTTCTCTTCTCTGGATTAGTTAGTTGGCTTTGAACCAAACACATTTTCCATCCAAGTTACATTACTTCCTATAATAAACAATGTTGTTATTTTCTTATTCTACATGCATCCCTCTGTGTGTGATTGCAACAGGTAAAGTCTGCTCTCTAACCAAATGCACAAAGCACAGTTTGCACACTCTGCATAACAATAGGCTCCAAATAAATCAGCTGTTGTACAACAGTTGTACTGGATTCCTTTGTCGCTCAACCTTTCAGCTCTGACACTCCCTAGTACAAGGGCTCTTACTGCTAGCAAGTAGAGGATGCTGGATCTGATCCCATGATCTGAGGATGCCCCGCACCCCACTCCCAACGCATATATGCCACTTTCTGCTTTCCTCTTCTTTCAAACATTTGCTTTGGACGCAACAAGTTTTCAATGGTTAAGCAGCTTTGTTACAGATGATGACCATTCTATATTGCGGTGACCTTTGCAAAGAGGATCCGTGGTCATGTGTGTGTGCATGAAGGCTTATAGCTAAACAGAATTAAATGCACTCCAGCTTCTATTTGCCAGGTATCAATCGTTTTTCCAAAGGCTTCAGCTCTCGCTATTGTTGGCTCAACAAAGCTTACAGGAATCCATCGTGCCTGAAAAACAAGCCTTATCGTCGCAAAGATTTATTTAGCCAACACAGCTCACGGCCATGCTGGAAAGATTGTCGCGAGTAGGAATCTTGAAGCTATAGTACGGATGTGGAAAAGCAGAGGAGGGAGTGCCCCCCCGCAATGTTGATGGGCATTGCCATTCAAATGGTGTGTGTGTCGTGTCATGTGATTGATTACGTGGGGTGGTTGCTTACCTCCCCCCCATCCTTTATTCAAGTTGGCACCCCTGTAGGAAAGTCACTGGGATGTAGTGCTCAGAGTGCAATCTGGGAGACCAGGGTTCAAATCTCCACACAGCCAAGAAGATCACTGGGTGACCTTGGGCCGGACACTCACTCTCTGACCAACCTACCTCAGAGGACTTTTGTGGGGATAAAATGAGGAGGGGGGGAACCATGTATGCCACCTTGAGCTCTGTGAAGAAAAAGGTGGGATATAAATGAAACAAACAAACAAACAAACAGTAAAATTCAATCCAGTGTGCAATTTAATGCAAAATGGGGTTTAATACGAACCTCCCTCATTCAAATTTCCAAAATCCCATCTATTATACAGTGGTACCTCGGGATACAGATGCTTCAGGTTACAGACGCTTCAGGTTACAGACTCCGCTAACCCAGAAATAATACCTCGGGTTAAGAACTTTGCTTCAGGATGAGAACAGAAATCGCGCAGCGGCAGCAGGAGGCCCCATTAGCTGAAACGGTACCTCAGGTTAAGAACAGTTTCAGGTTAAGAACGGACCTCCAGAACGAATTAAGTTCTTAACTTGAGGTACCACTGTACATTTAAAGCAGCTTTATACCACTTTAAACTGTCATGAGTAAAAAGTAAAGGACCCCTGGATGGTTAAGTCCAGTCAAAGGCAACTATGGGGTTGCAGCGCTTATCTCGCTTTCATGCAGAGGGAGCTGGTGTTTGTCCACAGACAGTTTTCTGGGTCATCTGGCCAGCATGACTAAACTGCTTCTGGCACAACGGTACACAGTGTGACGGAAACCAGAGTGCATGGAAACGGCGTTTACCTTCCCGCCACAATGGTACCTATTTATCTACTTGCACTGGCATGCTTTCAAACTGCTAGGTTGACAAGAGCTGGGACAGAGCAAAGGGAGCTCACCCCACAGTGAGGATTCGAACTGCCAACCTTCTGATCAGCAAGCCCAAGAGGCTCAGTGGTTTAGACCACAGTGCCACCCGCAACCCTTTAAACTGTCACAGCTTTCCTGGGAGCTGTAGTTTGTTGAGGGTGCAGAGAGATGTTAAGAAATTGCCCATCCACACCATTTCCCCTGACAGAGCTACTATTAGCAGGGTGGCTTAACAATCAAACACTCTCCCTGGGGAGCTCCAGAAATTGTAGCACGGTGGAAGCAGCGCAGAGCCATCATGGTCAGTAGTCACTGGTAGCTTTGTCCTTCATGAATTTGCCTAGTCTTTTTTTTTAAAAAAAGGTTAGGATGCTGGACTGCATCAGTAGTTAATAACAATGATGACTATGATCTACCCCCTCTAATAAGAGGCAGAAAATGACAGTGAGTACATTGGCTCCCAGTATGTTTCTGAGCACAATTCAAAGTGTTGGTGCTGACCTTTAAAGCCCTAAACTGCCTCAGCCCAGTATACCTGAAGGAGTGTCTCCACCCCCATCGTTCTGCCCGGACACTGAGGTCCAGCTCTGAGGGCCTTCTGGTGGTTCCCTCACTGTGAGAAGCCAAGTTATAGGGAACCAGGCAGAGGGCCTTCTTGGTAGTGGCACCCTCCCTGTGGAACACCCTCCCACCAGATGTCAAAGAGAAGAACAACTACCAGACTTTTAGAAGACATCTGAAGGCAGCCCTTTTTAGGGAATCTTTTAATGTTTAACAGACCACTGTATTTTAATATTTTGTTGGAAGCCGCCCAGAGTGGCTGGGGAAGCCCAGCCAGAAGGGCAGGGTATAAATAATAAATTATTATTATTATTATTATTATTATTATTATTATTATTATCATCATCATCACAAATGGGGAGAGCATTGCTGTTGCACCCAGATCCTGTTCGTGAGCTTCTCTTTGGGGCATCTGTTTGGCCTGACCCATCAGACTCTTCCTATGTTCTTAACCTCCAAACAGCAGGAACATGAATTTTTAGAGTGGGGGGGGGGGAGAGGGAGACTAGGTAAGCACGAATATTTTAGAGGGTGCAGACTAGGCAGGTCATCATTAGCTGTTGGTGCTAGACCTGGCTTCTTAGCCCTGATGAGCAGCAGAGCAAGGGTAGATGAATTTCTTTGCTCTGCTAACCCACTAGGGAGCCCAGCAGAAAGTCACACTTCCCTCTTGCAAACCCCAGTAACTCTCTTCTTAAGAACCTCTGTCAACCCTGAAGCATATGCTAGGTGTGCCCCTCCTTCCACTACATCAACGGGATCAGGATGAGCAACAACAAAAACCATTGCCCTCTCCTTTCTTCAGCCCCCCTTTCTTGCCCAGAGATGCAAATCATCCCTGCAAAGGTTTCTGGGGGAGGCGTGAAGCTGTCATTAGCCTTGCAGATTATGAAACTTGTTAGCAAACACCCCAGATCTTGCTTTCCACTGCTCTAATAAGAAAACGCTCTTTCTCAAGGGAAAACTGCCCCTCCCCTGATTTATGCCTCATTCTAGAGAGACGGCAATGGATCTATATTGATGTCTTTGCGACCCACAGCAGAGAGAGGGATATTGAAGGAAAGTGGCTGTTTACTTGACTCCATCAAGAATCCTGTATTGATGCCTGGGGGGTGGGTAGGAATGGGGTGGTGGTGGTATGTATTTCATCATGGATAAAGCACCCCCAATTGCAAATCCACACTTGCCAATACAGGCCATATTTAGGGTTATTATATCACTGTAAAATAGTTTTATGGAGCTATGAATACAGGCAACACGTCAATATCTCACCGTCTGAAGCTGATGCCATTTTATAAACCTGATAGCATCAATCTGAGATCCTGGGCAGTTTGACAAAGCATTAGGCAAATGTAAGTTATTTTTTTTCCCCAGTAGGAAGTGGGATTTCTGGAATGGCTGGCTCTGTTGGTGGGAACTGGGCCTATTTTGCCTTCCAGGGGCAAGTTTGCTGGTGTTGGTGAGTAGGGATGGAAGGATCTAGGAACATAAGAAGAGCCTGCAGGATCAGGCCAGTGGCTCACCTAGTCCAGCATCCTGTTCTCCCAGTGGCCACCCAGGTGCACCAATGGGAAACCAGCAAGCAGGACTCGAACACAAGAGCACTTTCCCCACCTGTGTTTTCCTGAAGCATTAAGAACACCAGAAGAACATGCAGGACCACACCAATGGCCCATTTAGTCTGGCATCCTGTCCTCATGGCAGGGAACTGGATGCCACAATGGGAGCTGAGTACAGCAGCGCTGTCCCCTGGCTGTAAGCAAGAAGGCAGTCAGGTGAAGGTGTGGGATACTGACAATGCAATCAAACCAACAAATACCAGTGTACTGGAAGAGGCAAAGATCACCAGTGTCAAAGCAATGATTCTTCAACATCAACTTCGTTGGACTGGTCATGTTGTGCAGATGCCTGATTATCATCTTCCAGCACAGCATCTCTGTTCCGAACTTAAAAATGGAAAGCGTAATGCTGGTGATCAACAAAAGAGGTTCAAAGACTCTCTCAAGGCAAATCTTAATAAATGTAGTATAAACACTGACAACTGGGAAACACTGGCCTGCGAGCGCTCCAACTGGAGAACAGCCTTTACCAAAGGTGCCATGGGCTTTGAAGACTCAAACTCAAGGGACACAAGGGAGAAATGTGCTAAGAAGAAGGCACGCTTGGAAAATCCACACTGTGATCAACTCCCACCCGGAAACCTATGTCCCCACTGTGGAAGGATGTGTGGATCCAGAATTGGCCTCCACAGTCACTTGCGGACTCACTTTTAAAACTGTGTTTATGGAAGACAATCTTACTCAGCTATGTTTGTTGTTGTTTAGTCATTTAGTCGTGTCCGACTCTTCGTGACCCCATGGACCAGAGCACGCCAGGCACTCCTGTCTTCCACTGCCTCCCGCAGTTTGGTCAAACTCATGCTGGTAGCTTCGAGAACACTGTCCAACCATCTCGTCCTCTGTTGTCCCCTTCTCCTTGTGCCCTCAATCTTTCCCAGTACCAGGATCTTTTCCAGGGAGTCTTCTCTTCTCATGAGGTGGCCAAAGTATTGGAGCCTCAGCTTCACGATCTGTCCTTCCAGTGAGCACTCAGGGCTGATTTCCTTCAGAATGGAATTTCCTTAAGAATGGAAATTCCACTCGGCTACGAGGGATTGCCAAAGAAGAAGCAGCAGCAAGTTTGCTAGATAGGCACATGATAGGAGCTGAAGCTCACAGAGTTTCCCTGTAACTTTGCAAGAGAGAGCTCTGAGAGTCGCTCCCACTGTGCTCTGACAGGGGGAGGGCATAGCTATATATATATATTCTCTTACCTGCCTGGATACAGCCTCTTTTTTTTGCATCTCTTCACTCCGACCTCTTCATCTCATCACCAAGAAATTTGTTGAGAAGAAACAAATGGCTAAGCCAGAGCTACAGCTCAGACTCCATTTTAAGCTTGACTTAAGTATGTCTTTGTAACTGAATTACTATTTTAAGACTGCCTGAACAAAGCTGCTGTATCTGTTCTTCTTCAATGAGTATTCCGAGGGAGTAAACGCAGTTTTTACCTTTTTGCAAGATTGTCTGTGTGATTGTTGTTTTAAGGGGGAGAAAAGGGGGAAATACCAGGAGAATCCAGTCTGCCTTAGAGCATCCCGGATTACTTAAATGAAAAGACTAAAACCAGTCTGTCTAAGCTTCCCTTCTAAGCTGCAAACAGATGCACTTTGCTGAAGTCGCAAATGTGAAGAAGGTAGGATATACCGTATCCCCCCCTAGCATCTATACACATCCCTACAGGAGGGGCTGGCTGAGATTGTCAAGGTATTGCCCCATTCTGCCTAACAGCCCAGGCTGAACTGGCAGGTGCATGGGGGGGACACACACCATATACAGTGGTACCTCTGGTTATGTACTTAATTCATTCTGGAGGTCCATTCTTAACCTGAAACTGTTCTTAACCTGAAGCCCCACTTTAGCTAATGGGGCCTCCCGCTGCTGCCATGCCGCCGGAGCACGATTTCTGTTCTCATCCTGAAGCAATGTTCTTAACCCGAGGTAATATTTCTGGGTTAGCAAAGTCTGTAACATGAAGCGTATGTAACCCATGGTAGCACTGTACAACCACAGCGCAGTTTAAGCAAAACCCAAGCCTGGCTTCCTCTTAGCATTTCATACCTGCATTTCCAACTCAACCCTGGCCTGTCTATAAGACCTGCTTCTCACAGTCCAGTTTGGTACCTTCTCTGCAGCTTTCATGTTCCTCCTTTGTAGATCCAGTCACATCCTGTG